GGGCGGCCAGCCCTCGCTGCCAGGCTGTGCCCTGCGGGGCAGGTGGAGCCAGGGCTATGCTCTGGGCTGTGGCTGGTCCTAGCTACCCAGAGCTCAGCCCAGTGGCGGGCAGCTGGGGCTAGCTGCCCGAAGAACAGCCCTGGCTCTGCGTGCCCTGCAGAGTGCTGCACTGGCCATAGAGGGGGTAGGGCAGCTCGTGTCGCTAAGTGCTGCCGGTCCAGGAGCTGCTTGTGTGGCAGCTTGCCAGTGACTCTCATCACTGCTCCCGCTGCCAGTTCAGGAGGGCATGGGGTGGAGGCATGTGCCCCACGATCTGCACAGGGCAGGCAGATCCAGGTTCCAGCGCCTTCTATGCCAGATGAAAGGCAGCCCCTGGTTCCAGCACCTTCTATGCCCCCTCATCATGAGCCCAGCCAGCACGGGGCTGGTGCTTGACTGAGCCACTGTGCTGCCTCCAGACAAATGGCGTGCAGTGGTGGAAGCCATCCCAGTTTCCCCACGGCTCACAGATGAGCAGCGGGTTTGCCCCATCTGGATGAGCAGTGTCAGGGTATGTGGGGAGCATGTGCCACCTGAAAACTTGCTGTAGCACCCCCATAGTCCCTGCTTCACCGCCCACCCTGCCCTGATCCCAAGGCATACGCTTCCCTGCACATGCCCTGCTGCTGCTCCATGGAAGAGCAGCCTATGTCTGCCTGCTGCTTGGCCACGACCCCCAGCACTCAGGGTGGCTCAGGGAGGGGAGAGAACAGGGGCTGCAGATAGCAGGGATGCCACTAACCTCTCTGGATATTTCCGGGCTGCTTCACATCAGGCAAGAGCCAGAGCCATCCTTTTGTGCACATAACAGCCTATGGTGCATGTGCTCCTCTTCCGTTGCTGTATATGGGATCATAGTTTCATAGTTTGTAGGGCTGGAAGGGACCTGAGCAGATCATCAAGTCCGACCCCCTGCCATAGCAGGGAAGAGTACTAGTGTCAAACGACTCCAGCAAGGTGATTGTCTAGCCTTCTCTTAAAGACCCCCAGGGTAGGAGCCAGCACCACTTCGCTTGGAAGTTGGTTCCAGATCCTAGCCACCCTGACAGTGAAGTAGCGCCTCCTGGTATCTAGCCTAAATCTACCCTCTGCCAGCTTGTGACCGTTA